TTTGTTTAACTTTAAGGTTGTAACGTTTTCAACTGTTTCACTCTCTCTCTCTCACTCACTCACACACACACACACACACACACCTTCAAATAACCCTGGATCCGCCCCTGTAAAGCTGTCGAAGAGGAAATACGTCGAAGAGAGCCACGGCCCCGGAAGTATAAATTTGACTGAGAGCTGTCTGAAAAAGAAATAAAAAAAACAAGTTTTCAGCTCACCTTATGTACACCTAAAGTTGACCAACCATGCCAGGTTAGGAATGGGAGGAAAGAATATAAAATTCGAACACATTTTCATTCGCCGCCAGTTTTATCTTGACTGTTTCCATGTACCAGTGAATAACCAGTTATCATGCACGAATGGTAACAGTTTACTCAGGGGCGGATGACAGGCCTCAGATGCGAAGCTGACCCTCGCCCCCTCCTCCATCCCCTTTGACGTGGGGTTCGGGGCCCGCTGAAGGGTACCGAAAAAATTTGGTATGTTAGAGGGTGAACATTGCCATTTGCTACGGTCTAGAACTATGATTAAACTAGTCAAAATTCTAATATCAAGAGAGGAGTATTGGTATGGTTTATTTTCAAGAACTGAAGGGGGGGGGGGGCAGGACCTTCCTGACACCCTCCTAAAGCTTAGGCTGCAGTGTTTTGCCTGTGCTGCGGTCTCGGCCTCATTGTGACGGCTAGCACAAAATTCATGCGTTAACTGGTTGACACGCACTGCAGGAAAGGTTTCAAAAGTGTTAACTTTCGACCAGTTTGCGCTCCCACAAAAAAAAGAAGAAGAAGGAGAAGAATAAATAGAAGCCTGTCCCTTCCTGTGTTCACGTGAAAAAAGTGAGCAGGGGGCTTTTAAAACACCATTCTTTTTATAGCCCGCACTCCGACTGCCTTGGGCAGCCGTAGGTGTGTGAGGAGGGGGCCTTCCCGCAATATATTTTGAAATAAGCCATTGATGTTGTGATTATGTCATGTAAACCAAATATTGGTCTTCAAAATGGAAGATAGACTGCCTTGTATGAATAAAATTAACAAACCTGGGCGGGACTAGTCTCCATAGTAGACAGCGTATAGTATTGCTCTCTACAAAAATTGCCCCGTTCATGAGAAGACGCGTTACTGTCTACCATTAAAAGACCCAGTTCAATAATAAATGGGACGACTTTTTATATCAAGCCTGTATCAATTTCTGATTCCCCATTGAGTAAATTCTAAATCATTCTTACGTATATGAATATTAAAATAGTTTATAATAAATGAAGAGAGAGAGAGAGAGGTTGAACAATAAGAATATAAGAACAATAAGAACAATAACAAATCTTTTACATTAATATATGCGCCTTCGGACAAAAATTCATAGAATGTGCTTGATGAGGCAAAACAAAGATGCTGTTGTTAATGCTGAATTAATTTTGTTAATTTAAAAATAGAATGAAATAAATTAGATAAAAAAGTATGTTTTCAAGTAAATATTCGATCAAATATTAATTCTTTTACGGCGTAGCATCCATTTTATATACATGTATAATGAAAAGATTTTTTACCAGTCTGATGAAATACAGTATAAAATACTGAACGAACAAATTCAATAAATTAAAACAAGAATTTCAAGTCTTTGATTAAACCAGACCGATTTATTCCACTATTAGTTTATTTATTTTCACACGTTATTGAAATCTGGAGTTTTTATACTTATGAAGTACTAACAATATGTAGCAGATTAAAGCTCGAAAGATGCTCGAAAGATTGTTAACTCATTGCATAAACTTGTTTTAGTTTTAATTTGTCAGTTTTAATTGTGTAGTTAATTTGAAAACAACAGTTTTCACGCACGCTCCTGTCAATATACAGAGACGGGCTACTTATTGCCTCGGCCCTTTATAAGGAACGAACAAAACACGGCCGGTAGTTTTTAATTTTACCTGGTCACTAACATCATTATCTCGGCCTTTTTCTCTCCGTAGTTCATGAAAAAATGACAAGGTTTTACTTTTTATACCATCCGTTTTTTAAAAATGATCCTAAAAAAGTATTATGTTCAGTTCGTATACGAAGTTCAGATTTCGTACGAGCACCAAGAAAGGATTATGGAGCAACAAACATCGTCAACAACGTTAATTCATGTATAGTCATTTAACATCATATCCAGAAAAAGAATGACAACTGATTTTAGTACATTTAAAAACGCCTGTGAAAGAACCTGGGATTCTTTCACGTTGTTAAATTTCAGTCTCTCGGTTGAAATAAAGAACCTGGCGTTTTTTAACGCTGCAAAAAGAAAAGAAAAGAAAATGCCCCCTACCTCCAGAATGTTACGACATGTATTGTTATAGACAGGTATGAATCAAATTCAAACAGGCTAATTCAGCTTTGATGGAAGCTGTGAAGCGCACACGACTATGAATGACAGTTTTTTTAACAAAGGTCAAACACAATTACTACAATCTTCTCTCTGAACATGTAAAAAACCCTATGCCCTTTGATTGACAAGATGCCAATCAAATTCATTAGTTTTGATAGCTGCTGTCAAGTAATAACAGCTTGATTGGCAGGTTATATATAATTATATAAACAAACGTCAATCACAATCATTACACGGTGGATCACTATAGTCGT